AACAACCCTCCCGTATCCCTTCCTTTTGTGTGGTCTTTTCTGACCCACCCAATCCGCACCCCGCCTGCCTACCCGCTCACCCCTATCCTATTTTATCCACTAGGAACCCAGCGCTTTCTATCTCATCATTTGTCGATTTACTCACTTCGGCATGTTGCGCCCAAACGAAACACTCACGTTCGCACAATCGTCGACAGGAAATGCCGTTTTCATCAAGCGACTTGCCTCGACTTCCACCATAGAGAGGCAAGAGACAAACAGGCCGAACTTCCGGCAAAAATGGAGAAGCTCTTCAGGTTACGATTTCCCCTGTACGGGCTAAAGGGCGACGCGTTTGGGTGTTGATTTCTGTGGTTCAAAGCCTTCACGATTTGCAGTGATGGTTGGAGAAAAAATCGAGTTCAATTTCAAACTGGAAGTGCTAACTAAGAAAGCGATTGTTATTTTCATGTTCTATGTCCATGCACGGCACTGTACAAAATACAGAAAGTCCGGTCCCTGTCCTGAAGGTTTACTGTCTGGAGAATTTCTACCAGTTATGAATTAAGGCTTAACCGTAATAGGCTAGTCTGGAGGATTCAGAGCTTGTGCCAAAAGGGTAGGGAAAAATATTTCTTACCGCAGTGAACTGTTACACCGGAAATTCGATACTTTCTACAATGCCTGACCTCTTACATGCCTATGCTTTTCTTAGAATGGAACTCACGATTTTGAATGTGGAGAAACCAGGCCAGTTTTCACATTGTATATCATCGTTCTTATCCTGCTTGTATCTTACTGCCAATTACTGGGATTGATGTCATTGCTAAAATGGTTCATGCCAGTACTGTGGCTGTTCTTTTAGTTTTGGGATGTTAAATCAACTTCCAAATAGTTCATTGTGTGTATATACTTTGCAAAATGCCATACAGAAAAGATACCTATTTATCATTTATGCCAGAATAAATGTGTTAATCTTTAAGGTTCAACAAGATTTTTTTATTTTGTCTGCAACCAACTTTTCATAAAGGAGGAGGTTATCAGTGGCTACTAGCCTTGCTGTCTATGTGCTGTCACAGAGAGGGCATACTCTGCATTTGCTCATCATGCCTACATACACCAGTTGTAAGGATCTTGACCAGCTGGAGGTCTTGTACCCATCCTGCTTGAGGAATCCTAGGTATAGCTGTTTTGCCACTCTGTGAACTGAGTGCTGGACTGGATGGACTACTGGCCTGATCCAGCATGGCTGTTCTTACATTGTTAAGTATCACTGGCTGTCATCTGGAAGATGTGATAAAAATCTCTGTGTATTAGTAAAGTACACACAAATGTATCATTATAACTCAAAGTTACGAACTTTGCAATATTACAGACCTTAATCTGAATAGCAAATAAATACTAGCGAGAATAAGAATAATAAAAATTGCACATTATTCCTGAAACAAGTTTTATTTATTTCAGTGTCTACTCTCCATATTCAGCAATATTACATAACATATTTAACAGTAATTTCTCAGAATCAAATAACACGGCAGCATTTTCTAGCATGTAAACATATCTGCTGTGTGTACTACCCCAGAAATTTTACCTGCAGGGTGAAATGGTATAGCTCAGAAAGACTCCTATCATTTTGCTGAATGCTTGCCTAGTGATGCTAGATATGCTTAAATGTATCCTTTATCTGTTCACATGAGGATCAGAGGGCAGGCATGTGTGTATTTGGGAGCTGTAGGAGAGATATGACACATGCTATTAATTCAGAAGTAGAATGAGTAGTATTATCCATCTATGTAAGTCTAAAAGAGTATTGGTCAGCAGCACAGCTCCAAAACTATGAAACCTAAACACCTGAAATTTGGTACACATACTTGTAAATTCCACCTTTGGGTTATTTTGTTGTTAAAATGCATTAATTAATTTAAATATGTTCATCTGTTTGAAGCCTGCAGTATTATCTGCAGTCACTAGGTGGAAGACTTTCCTAACTGGCACATAGCTTGACAGTTGATAGTGTCTGAAGCCAAGTGGGCATATTCCCAAGGCTAGTGTTATATGGCTGCCCTTTCCCAGCTACTGTGGGGTAGTTCCCCTCACAGGAATCTAGTAAATAGACCATGGCAGTAGCTTCATTGAGATGAGCTTTGCATACTTTTTCCAACACAGACAGCTATGTCATTTTATTTGAAGTTGTTGCTATTTGAATTGTTGATCCGTGTCAACCCATGTGAAGCTGGGAACATTCATTAGTAAAACATAATAGAGAAATATGACAAGCAAGATTCCAGTTATCAGTGGAAGAACAAAAAAAGAAAAAAAAGTTTAGGGTGGGTGTTTGTTTTTTAAATATGTAGTTAACACTTGGGGCCCTATTTGTCTGTGATAATCTGGTAAGCTTCTAGATCACGGCAATATGTTTTAGAGAACCACATCATTAGACCTTAAATTTCACTGATTTACATTACTATGGCAAAACATGTGATAGAACACAAACAGTATGGAATTTAGAAATGCAGTTAAGAGCATACCCATGACTACCATTGTTATGTGCAGTAATTCCAATTACAGCAGGATCCCCATATCTGCATGGATTAGTTCCAAGCGCCAGAGCAAATGCCTGAAACCTCAGATAACAGCAAACACTATACAATACACTATCCAATAGCAAGTGGTGCCCGTGGGCATTGAGTATTGAGCTACAAAATAAACTCAAATATGCATTGTCTTTTCCCAATTTCATTCATTCTTACCTCAGCACTTTAAGACTTCCTTTGGCACTTTATGACACTTTACAACTTCTCTTCTGGGTTGAAGTCAACCATGGTTAACTGAAAATGTGGTAACCAAGTCAGCAGATATGGGGGTCCTGCTGTACTTCTTGACATCACTGCTAATTATATGACCCATCTATTTTAGCATACATAATCTATTTCCTATAATATTTAATGTTACAATTAGATATATTTAATTCCATTGTTGCTTTCTTAGAGGTTCTATTCTTATGTCATATGTCCCTACCATTTTTTAAACTGCTGTATACAGACCTGAACAACTGAAATTGTTCTAGTATAGTAATCTTTTCTGGCAGATCATCAGAAAAGAATGAGTCAGATAGAAGCACTTTCAAATTCTTATAATGTTAATCCAATATACATTGTTAGAGCCTTCTTTCTTCATTTTTGTGTTCAGCATGTGGTCTCTTCTTATTTATCTCATTTATTTGCACCATTTCTATAGCACTACATGTTAAGACAAAATCCTAAGTGGCTTTCATAAAAATATTAAGAGCACATTTTAAGTCACACTCAAAATACAATTATGAAAACATACAATAATAATAAAAACAATGAGAGAGCTATCAAGGAGCAGTAAGATAGAAAAGCATAGTTTCAAAGCAGGAAAAGCCTGAGTGAATGGATGCATTTACAGGAGATGTTCAAAGGCAACAAATTTTCTGCCTCCAGAACTGAACAAGAGACTTTATTTTCCTGCAGGATGTGTGCTGCTACCAAGAAGACCCACCATGTCAACTGGTAATTCTGGAATGAGTTAGGTATCCCCTGATATTAATGATTGGTTAGGTATATGTAAGGAAAGGTCATCTGCTGTTATCATATATATTTACCTAGGAGTAATCTTATTGCACTTAATTCGGCTCATTTCTGAATACAAGGTTGGTGCAGTTAAGTTGCTTTGGGTAAACTGGCCCTTCTGGGATAACCAGGCTATTGCAATAAGCAAAGGCACAGAGGCTGTGACCAAAACTTTCCAGTTTCTAGTTTCAACCAAGAATGTTACAATTGTATACTTACACACTTATTTGGAATAGTGAACTCTGAGGGATTTGAGTAAATGTGCACAATATTTCATTTAAACAGTGTCACTATATCATGTTATATATTGTGCTATTTTAGTTTAGCTTTCCATGCCTTACACAAAAACTCTTACTTAAAAGTGAAAAAGCAACAATATTGGGGAGACACTTTTTATGTTATTTTGTTATGTGTCATCATGTCATATTGGACTTAGGATGACCCTATGAATGAACTCCCTCCAAAATGTCCTGTCCTTGATAATCCTTCTCAGTTCTTGTAAATTCAGGGTTGCAGCTTTCTTTATGGAATCACTCCATTTCATATTTGGTCCTCCTCCTCTTCTGCCTTCAGATTTCCCTACCGATACTTTTTCCAGTGAGTCTTGTCTTCTCGTAATTTTTGAGAAATAGTATAAATAACTACGAATTAAATATCTTCATGTTATGAAGACAGTGAGAAACAGTCACAACCAGATAAAACGAACTACAGATTTCACTTCTAATACACATAGTCTGCAATTCCATGCAAACTAACTCGGCAGCAAGCTGGACTCACTGCAGCTTACTTCCAAGTAAACGTTGCACAAGCCCAGTTGCTGAAATAAAAGATACTCTCGGTCCGCCTACGCATAGCTCATCTGCATTCAGAACCTCCTCCTCCTCGCTTTACTCAGCACTTGCATTGGCATGTTTGTATTTTGGTTTCCTTTGCTATGACGCCATCACGTCTGTGAGGTCGCGGTACGTAGTGGCGCTAGCGACGTCGGCGTGTCGTGCGTGCTTCTCGCTCGCTCTCTTTGGCCCCCTCCCCCATGTATCTCTGAGGAGGCGGTAGTGGCGGCTCACGGGCGGCCCAGGGCCTAGTGGAAGGGGCCGGGCTGGCGCGGGCAGAGTGGGTCCCGTCGCCATGGAGGGGATGGACGTGGACTTGGACGCCGAGCTGATGCAGAAGTTCAGCTGCTTGGGAACCACCGACAAGGACGTGCTCATTGGCGAGTTCCAGCGGCTTCTCGGTTTTCAGCTCAGCCCGGCCGGCTGCGCCTTCTTCCTGGACATGACGAACTGGTACTACGCTGCGGGAGGTGGGGTGGGGGGAGAAGGACGGGAAGGGGAAGGCGGAGTGTAACCGGGGGTGGGGGGGGTGTCTTCCTGACTCGGCGGTGCTTTATCGGGAGGGCTGAGCGTAGGCCTGGGGGACTCACTTTGCCAGGCCCAATTTGCTTCCCCGAGCCCCCCAGCTTACTGGGGAAGTTATCCCGTTAAAGGAGTCCGGTTGAGGGTTTGATCACGCACGCGCTGGCGTGAGGGGAGTAGCGCTGCGTTTCTCGTTAGGGTGGATTAACTCCGTCCAATGTAAACAACCTCAGCGTGACGCTTTTTTGCTTGCAGGACAAGTCATAAAAGTGCCGCCAAAACACTAGGAGCAGTCGCCTTTCCTTATCTGCAAAGGCTTTGTGTGTGGTCTCTTTAGAATTAGATCAAGTTTTCTCTTGGGTTCAGTCTCTGGTCTTGCTGAAGTCTGTGCTCCATGACAGGCTTTATCAGGCTGTTGTTTGTTTCTGTTGTTTTTGCTTTTAGCCCCAGAACAAAGTTCTTCGTGCATTTTAAAATGCTGAGATACTTGTTCAAAGCCAAAATGGTCCTCTGCAGAGTGTAATTATAATCTTTATATTTTCTCTGAATGTTCTTTTTTTCATCACAAGTGGAAGACTGTTTCAGGTAACACTTTTGCTGACTTATGTGCTAGGAATGTAAATTACTAGAGTTGTAAAGTCAGAAAGAATGTGAGGGAGGGATATTTGTATACCGTTATCTTGGTATTGTTTCCCAAAATATGAATAATTTCATCCCCTTAAGTTTGTAGTTAAAAATTGACAAGGTCTGAAGTTGCTGTGTCGTTTTCAACTGTCATGGACTTACTAATCATATTTTGATCCTTCTATTTCAGATTTTCAAATTAGTTTGCAGTGTTTCTATTTCCATTCAGAGAACTACCCTCTTAGATAGGTTACAATTTCCATATTTTCTGATGAGAATTTGAAGGATAGTGATGGCTGCACAGTGAGTTTATGGCAGAAGTGAGGCTTTAATCCCAGATCCTAATCTAGATTTCTTCCAATGGGATCACTCTTTTAACATCTGAGATAAAAGAACTTGTGTGAGTGTTGGATCATGAGTTGAGCTGATGAGGTGTGAACAAGGTGCATCATCAAAAATTTTGAAGCATAAAACATTCAACTTTATTTATTATCTGTTAGACTTTTTAATCCATAGGTTTGTAAACAAAACCTTTAAAAAGTTATGTTTGCAATACAAGTGAAAATCTGGTGTTGTGTCAGGACATGATTTTAGTAACTGGTTTTCCTCCCTTACAGTTCCATCTGCCCTTATTTCCTGTACTTCATGCACTGTCTTCCTAGATCATTTTGGACATCAACCTTATATGAAAAGTGCAAATCTGTACAATATTATGGTCATGGAGAATTGTGACTCAAACTACATAAGGGTGGAAAAAAGTACATTTTAGCCTCTATTCAAGTGTTCTTGGAAGTGTACTCAAAATTTAATGAAATTTACTTCTGGGTAAATGTAAAACTTAAATGCAATTTGGACTGGTCTAATAGACCAGTAATATATAATCTGTGTTGGAGGGAGGTTGGTCAAATGTGTACTCCACCCTTTCCCTAAGGATCATAAATTGGTTTAAATCAAATTCCCATTTTGCTCTCAACAGTAATACAAGGTAAGAATGGTTAAACTGACTTCTCAAAAACAGGGAGGGCAAAATTTTGAATGTAATGTACACCTGACTTGAGGTGGGAAGTCACATGTTTTCCATGAAAAAATAATCCTCCACATATATAGCAAGGATGCCACCGAGAAACTTAGGTGAGAAACCTTTACTTTGACATCTGGTTCATTGTGTGGAGAGAGATATTTTTGGCACAGAGTAACCTTATGTGAGTCTCCACTTGCTGTTTGAAATTGTGTATTCTAGGGTGAGGTTTACCAGCTCATCTGGTTTCTGTGATAAGTATTGCCATGATAATTTGCCCAAGGTCACCCAACTGCAGGGACATATGCGAGTATGTAGTTGACTCCAAATATCTTACAGTTGTAAGACATTGGCTCTGTTTAGAATTGCACATGGCTAAAAGCACATATAATTCATGAATATTTGTAAGGAATCTGGGATTGGTATGGAATCCTACTGTAAATTAATTAAGTAATTAATTGCATTTATGTACCACCCTAGTAGCCCAGAGTACTGTACCTACACGTGGTGAAAAATGTATATGTTGGTTAGGTAATACGACAACTTTAAGGAACAATATTCAATGAAGGATTGTTGCAAAGTTGCAGTATATATGCATAGTGTACCTTGGATCCCATAGTATGTTTATTTGTACCTTGTGGATGCTACTTTTTAGTTTAAATTGCTGATATTATTCAGCAGAGTATTCATATAGTAGGGACAGAGATGTGAAGGCCCACAAATAAAAGGCTGCATGGGCATATGGTAGGAAAACCTTTTTTGTGGACCATTTTTCCTGAAAATTGAACAGCTTTAGATTATGAAATGTATTGTTATTCCTTTCCCACTTATTTCTACTGTATAATTTTATGACTTTTACAGAAAGATTAATATATCCAGTTTCCTCCCTACCCTGCCTACCAGAATGCCACCTTCCCCCCAGGACACTTTTCTTTCCCTGTTTGCTGTGAGGGAGGTGGAATGCTTTCTCCCACCTTGGAATGGAAAATCCAAACAAATCTATGGCCTCTCAGATACTGTCTGGGGACCATATGATTGTTCCCTCAGGGATGCTGCAAACCATCCTCAGCTTCTCAATATGTGAGTGAAGTCACCTTATCATAATAAAGAAAATGTTCTTAATGATTCTATTCTTAGCAGTTTGGTTTTTGTTCTTTTGGGCCCTGTGTTTCTGGAATGGTTTACATCAACAGAGCAAATCCTATGGCCTCTTAGACAGAGTCAACCTCTGGGACCTTTCTTTGAGTGTCAACTCTGAGGGAAAGTTAGAGGATCCTAGCAAGGAGGAGGGCTGTCACTGGGGTAGGCCCCATCTTTGCAACAACCTCTTCACTGTGGCTTGCCTGGTGCTAAGCTTGTCATCCTTTTGGTGATAGATTAAGACTTCTGAGGTCTTTAAAGATTAGCTAGTCAGTGATTCCCATCTCAGGTGTTTTTATAGGGTCATTTTTACTTTAAGTTGTAGTTGTTTTGAAGCTGTTTTGATTTTATGATGTTGGTATTGTGCTGCGGCTTTATGCATTGTGGTAAACTACCCAGAAAGCTTCAACAGTGGGGTAGTGTAGAAATGAAATAATAATCATCACTGGTCTGCTCACTTCATTTGTCATCTCCTGACAGGATCAAACAACTCCCTCTCAGTCACCTCCCTGCTGCAGTCCTGAAATTTCTTCCTCTTTTTCTAAGGTGGGCTACTTCTCATGCTCTGTCTGTGAATCTTTACTAGAGCTGGGTCCACTTTCTACAGGGATAATGTAATCATATATAATTATGATTAATAATTATTTTGACTGCATTAGTATTACAAATAACTGAAGTGGTGATGCATGTAGGGAGATGGGATTAGGCTCTTTAGACATTTATTTATTCATTTATTTATTTAGGAGTCCAGGACAGCACTGTTGGATCCTCCCACTGCCATTTTCCTTCAGTTCAAATCACCATTTCTGCATAACCCTCCCACTCAACAAATTCATTCTGACTTACTTGAACAGCTATTTGAAGGAAATAACCATTTTGCAGTGTAACATTTTGAAAAACCCAATCCTAGTGTTTCAACAGAAAAGACTATAAACAGTCACCATTTGCAGGAAGATCACTACTAGTATTCTGTAGCTTCTCCTGCTGTCACCTTCCTTGGCCTCTATCTCCTCAAGACTATACACAGGTCCTTAGAGTACTGGTAAAATTATGCAGTTTGGAATAGCTTCAACTGTCAACCTCAAGAACACCAAAACTTGTGGCTTAAAGTTATTAAGTACTAGACTACACTTCTAGTAGTCTTGGAAAATAGTCTGTATTTGAAATATTGAAGAACTCCATCCATTCTGTGTAGCTGATCATGCATTAAACTGACTGGTTTTCTTATTCAGGACACACAGGATTAACCTTGGCATGTGCCAGAAGAGAGAGAAAAGTTCCACTTTTGATTTGAAAATGAGTTTCCTGATAAGTCCAAACTTGGGGAACTCTGATTAGTTTAAATTATGGCTAGGGAACAGACAAGATGATAAACGATGGTTTGATCTTTCATGGTTTGTACTAACCATAATGTAACTAGTGTTTCCTGAATTTGGATTTAAGACAGGATTTTGATTAGTTTAAAATTGTAAGTGGAACTTTTCAGTCTTCTTCTTTGGCACATAAAAATGGAAAGGGGGAGCTGGGTAAACAAAAGCCTGAGGGTTGTTACAGCTAATATACTTAGTGTGAAACTGAGATTTCGAATTGTATCTGTATAATTGTTCCTTTACAATCCCTACAACTTTAACATCTTCTCCTGTCCTAGCCAGGTTTCCATCTTCTTGTTTATACTTTTGGCTCCTTACCAGTACACAGGCAGTATCCCTTCCTTATCATGACATATGTCAACTACTGCAGAGTAGACCACCTGGAATAGTTGGTTGGGCAGATAATGGATTCTGGTCTTATGACAAATGAAGTAAACTACTCAATGTTGGGAGGGAAATTCCTCGCTGTAATATTTAAGATAACATTCTGAGGATGGAATTGGAGACAGGTCTTATGTTCAGAATTACTTAAGAGACCAAAAATATAGATTAAGTATTTAGGATTTTTATCTATCTCTGACTGCCCATGGAGAGAGAACAGTGCTTTACACCCAGTGGGTTGAAGCGGGAACATAACGTACCTTTTAAAGGAATGCTTGTGGTGGTGGGGGGGGGGGGCACATGCGTGAGAGAGAGAGAGAAAGCATGAATGAATGTTATCTTCTATGTTCCTCAAGGCTCAGATATTCCTTCTTAGCATATGTTCTCACCTTGAACTGCTGCTGGTGTTCTTTATTTGAGGGATCATCTGTTGAGAGGCATAGTGTAAACCATTACATTTCCTCTTCCAATAGGTTGTTGTCACATGTGAACAGGTCAGTGTGTTTAGTAGCATGGGAGTTGCTGTAACTTCCTGAAAAATAACATGTCACAAATAATTTCACTGCTCTGTAATATAAGAAGTTCATGCTGTAGTTCTTTGTTTCACTGATGTCCTTCCTCCATGCTTTGATAAGAAGAGACTGCCTGGTGGATTTGTTCCATGAGAAGGATGTGCTGTAGCTGCTTCTCATACTATTGCTGCTGTATTTCCTGGGAATGGAGACCAAGAGTGATAAGAAACCATGACATGGGCTTTTTATAAGTGCATCACAAAAAGAAAGTGTAAGAGACACACTCCTGTGCTGACCCAACTTAGCTATTTGCTGCACTTGGACGAACTGAGTTCACATAATACAGCAACCCGTACTCAAGGTTAAGTACAGGTTGAGTGGGCTGTTGTGAAACTGTAGGTTCGTTTGTTAACCACGAGCAACCAGCAGAGAGGACTCATGGTTGCTTCTTGGGATGTGAACTGTGAGATCTTCATGGTTAACTGGTGAGTTCAAACAGTATGACCCATATGTCATTTGTAATCCTTTGATGATTGATAT